TATATTTTTTATATAATAATTATATTATTAATATTAATATTTTATTTTTTATTAAAAAATTAATACTTTTTATTTATGTTCGCAGGCAAATTTGTCTGCTTTACAGTTTAAGGGATAACAAATTTAACTAATGTTTAATAAAGCATTTTTTAAAAATTAACTATTATATTATTGAATGATCTCTATATAATTACTATATATAATTTTTAATATAACAGTGATTGTATAGAGGTTATCTTTTTACAGTTACACCTTTATATAATTACTAATTTTAAAAGAATCAATTAGGTGACTATATGGAAGTCTAACTGTAGTTGCTTTTATAAAATTATACCTAAAAGGCTATAGACTTGTTACATATAATATTTAGCCTTATATGTCAAAATAGCTAACAAATCCTAAATATTATAAACACCTTAATAATAGAAATGTAAACTATGTTAAAAATTCAGAATATGCACAATATAAATGCAAATTAATAGGTAAATCATATCTATGTGATTCGCTATAAATTGACTATTTTAAATCTGAATATTATACTACTGAGAGAAAGTTTGTTAATATAAATTTTTCAGATCTGAATAATAATTATAAATATATACATCAAATTTTTTGAAGTATAGATTTTTTATTAAAATAGTATATTTTATATTTATGTATATTTATCAATAAATCAATCAATTTATTTTTTACTTTGCTCATATAATACTCTGTATGTATGATCATCTAGTGAAATTAACTAAAGGCTTTATACATGATCTACCTATTCTGGGTTAGATCTTCTAATCTATTTTAATAAAGTATTTTTCAAGAAAGATCTATGAAGCGGTTTTAAGAATTCTTGATTGCAAGACAATATAACTATCAGTTTGAGAATTTCTATACTATGGTATTAGTAATAATCTGTTTACATCATCAAATAACTGTATCACTTAATGTCACTAATGATCACTAGAAAACTCATGATCATCCTTTTTACTAATTTCACTACTATTACAGTTATCGTTGTGATATTTATTATATTTATTATTACATTTATCATTATTATATTTACTTTCATAATTATATTCATTTTTTTTATTATATTTATTATCTCTTTCTTATAATTGTATTTTATATAAATATCTTATATTATTGCCTTGACAAACTAACAAGTTTCTATCATACAATTAATAAAGTATAATCTTAACAACATAAAAACTATATCTTTGTCAATATTTATTTTCTTAAAAAATAAATTATTAATAAAAACAATCTAATTCTTCAACTTAAATAAATTCGTATTTATTTCATTCATAATTTATAACTTAAACTCCCTATTAGCAAATAAGCTTTATTATCTTAATGATATAATATTTAGATTTAACAACAATTATCCAGTAAGCCTATAGGAATTACAAAAAGAAGCCTAAGTCATTGGCAAAATGGGTTTAAGAGGTAGTAAGGAATAATAATACTCCTGATAATATGAAGTTTTTATATATAAAAAATGAATCAAGACAATCAGAATATATTTGTTATAGGGATGAAAAACATTATTATCCAATAAGAAATAATTAGATATATAAGAAGAGAGACTAATTATAGCAATAATCATCTTTTGTAACATTCATATTTGTTAAGAAACTATTATATTAGCAAGGCTATATAGTTGTTAGAGATACATATTGGCTTGACATATTAAAATAGCTACAGAATCCCAGATATTATAGTATTTATAAAAGTATAATTTTGTATATTTTATCAAAATTTCAGAACATGAGGCATATAAGATTAAATTATCAGAAATGAAATCTATATGTGATTCACTGTTAAAATATATATATCATATTTACAGGAAAGATATTACTGTAAATTTCATAGATTTAGATGATAATTGTGAGTTTGTGTGTCAAATTTTCAGATCAGACCTTGATCCAGATTCTGAATATTGTATTAATAAAATAATATATTGTCCAGCTATGTGAAACGTCTCAAGGCCAATGCATAAAGGCATATACAACATAAATTAACACATTTTTGATTTTTGTTAAAATATATATGATATAATATTAAGATCTTCAACACACATTCGCATGTTCTTATTCTCAAACACAAAATTTTAGTGTAAAATACCTTGCACAGTTTTTTTATCTCTTTTCCCTAATATGAATGTAAGTTAAAGAGTACATGAATGAAGAAGTCACCAAAGATTTAATAGGGTAAGTATATGTAATTCAAGTCATTGATTATTATTTTTTCAGTGAAATTCTAACACTATATTTTTCATCATTATGTCTTTTTTATATTATATGTCCTTCAATACCATTAATAAGAGATTCTTCATTGTCTTTATCATCCTCATCATTATTAGATCATAATCAATCTTTATTGAGCAATATAACTTCTAGTTCATCAGATACATTGGGAATATAAGACTATACATATGAAATAGATGAATGTGAAAAAATTATTTATCATACTACTATCTGGATAAACTGTTTAAAATGAGTAAGACATACTGCTAATAATGAAATAAATTTACGCAAAATTTAGGATTGGTTAAAAAATCTTAAAGACAATTTTTTACAAGCTGAAAGAACAATAGCTAAGCGTGATAGAGAATTACAAGATATCTGAAATGCTTTAAAAATGCAGAAACCCTAAATGGAATATTACAAAAGGATCTTGCTAGAATAACAGAAAAGCCTCAATCACTTTCTGATAGCTTCTCTAGTGAGAGAATTTCTATTGAAACATTATAAGAAGAATCTAATCGATCTATTGAGTATCATCACAATTTGAATGAGCAACTTGATGAGGATTTATCAGCTAGTATTCCATCTTTAATACTACCTCTAGTAGAACTAGAAGAAAACTTATCTCTCTAAGAGATTCATCGATTATTAGAGGATAATACTGATGTTTCAGAAGATTCTATGCCTAATTTCCCATCCTATAATGAAAATATAGGAGCTAATAATGATCAGCTAGAAGAGGAAAAACTGCGTGAATGTTGAGATAACAGGGGGTATTAGAATATAATCAAGATTGGCTTTTTGATAGATATGAAAAATGAAAAAATAAAACACATAAAGAACGCTAAATAATATTTAATTTACAGGGAAAAATTTTAGCATTACAGAATAATCCATTAAATATATCAGGAATGGTAGAATATATACTTCTAATATTTTATGATCATTCTGGAGAAGATTTAGAAGATTAGCTTAAAGACATGTAAAGATATATAATAGCTAGTCAAATAAATGTTGCATCTGGTGTAGATCAAGTTGCTGAAAGAAAAGAAGCATTTGAATTAGTAGTATCATGTCTTGCAGGTGATGCATTGAATTTTTATTTAACTTACATTAAAGATAAGAATTGGAGATATAATAATCTCTCAGACAACTTAAGTGTAGTAGACTTAAATGCTGTTCAAGCAATAGGAGCTAGAAATGGTGGTAATCAAATTGGTAGTTTGAATACTGCTGAAGAATTTCAAAGTAAAGCGAAAATTGAAATTGGTAGAATTGAAGCAGAGATCACAACTGGTACTGATATTATTCTAAATTGAACGTAGAATAAAAACTGGTATATAGCTGGTGGTAAACCTATAGATAATACACCAGTAGCACCTAATGCTAGAGGTAGTCTTCCTGCTATTACTATTGCTTCTGGTATTAAGCTTAGTTAACTTCTTTATCTTTTAAACCGCTTATACAACAGTTAAGCATTTAAAATAAATAGCAGTATTTGGTCAACTCATGCAAGGAGATTTGTTAGTTGAATAATTAATTCTCTACTAGAATTAAAAAAATTGATAAATTAGCTAAAATGACTTCTAAACAACAAAAAGAGCAATTTATTCATGATCTGTCTCTGATAAATCAATACAATCTTCAAATGATAACCAAATTTTATGATACCCAAGATAATATTACAGAAGCATTGGTTGAAGTGAAAAAATTTACATTATCTCAACAGAATGCATCATCTTTTTTTTCAATTTTTTTAGCGGCCAATCCATATATAGATACTAACAGATCAGGGATGACTAAAAATGAAATTGAGAACTTGGTAAAAAATATAATAGTATTCTTAGAATCTTAATAGCCTCAACAAGTGGCTTCATTGCAATTCTAATCACATCTTGCAGGTACGTATAAAAATTTACAAGATGAAAATATAGGTAGATTTTTATTATAGATTATGGGGAAAACCCCAAAATTTGTTTCTTTTCCTAATCCTACTTTATCACTAAAACTAAAGAAAAGATTGAAGTTAATTCTGATGATGAACTTGCTGAGCTCATAAAAAAACAATTAAACTTACATTTGGCTAGAGCCATTAAAAAGGTTGTAAAATCACAATATTAATGTTTTATCTGTGATAAAACTGAACATAATTCTCGCAAATATTCTCAAAAGAAGAAAAAGAAAATAAGAAGTCTAAAAAAGGTAAGGTTAATCTTGCTTTAGATCTAGATTCAGATTCAAATTCAGATTCTTCCTTAAATGATATCTCATCTAGTGATAGTTCTGATTCTGATTCTTCTGATTCTGAAAGTGAGTTTAGTATTAATATGGTTAAGACAAAAAAAAAGTGAAGCAGAAGTCTAGCTCTAAGAAATTGTTCTCAAAGAAGCAGTCTAAGAAAAAATTTAAGTCACATAAATCTGTTAAATAAACTAATAAAACAGATATTAAGAAATCTATAGTTAGCTCTAGTAAGGCTAAACAAAGTTAACAAAGTAAACAAAACACTTTAGAGAATACAATCTGTAAGATTATTCAAAGTAAACTTAAATTAATTTTTCTCACACTTATTATTCAAGATTCTAAAGCTGATGTGTTAAAATAAGCACTTTTTATTCAGAAAAAGATAGAGTTTCAAAGTGATAAGGCTCAATTACCAAAGATATATTACCAGACTTAGATAAAGAAGAATATTTAGATGATCCAATGGAGATTGATTTTGTTTAGAAAAAGGAGCTGAAAACAAGTGTTGCAACTATATAGTGTAAAATTAAGTATTTAAAGATCTCTGCTATAACTCTTGATTCTAGAGTAAAGCCTCTTATTTTAACAGAAAATATTGTTGAGCGTGTGAGGTTAAAATTGACAAATCTAAAATATATAATCTCAATAGTATTACTACAGTTCTGATTGAATCTGTTGGAATTGTTCATAATTTGCCAATTACTTTTGCTCTAGGATATATTACCTATGAAGATTTTGTTATTGTGAGATATTATAAGCTTACGCTAATATTTTTTAATCAACATTTAAAAAAGTACAAATATACAATAGATTGAAATACTAATGAGCTAAAGATCTCAAATTTTGGGACTGTGCAGTCTCAAAAAATTGCAACATATTTTTTTCCTGCTATATAACCATGCTAATATTATGTCTAATATATATACACTAAAAGATATAAAAGATAGAGAATATTGACTAGGTAATATATATGAGCAAGAGCTTAAAAAAAAATTAAGATCTGTTATTAATTTTAACTCTAAAATTATTGACTTCAATGAAAAGTTGCAAGCTGAAAATTCAAAGTATTTAGAATAAGAGGAAGAGTTTTAGTGAACTTATATTGATATTGAAAATAAGATTAGCCTGTTAAATGCTTCTAGTGCTAAAGTTAAATTCTAACTTATTTCTGAATGAAAGTCTCATTCTAAGAGTCAATATAAGCTTGAAGCCAAATATTCTGCTGAAATTAAATTACTTAAATCTTCTATTAAAATACTAAAAAGAGAGCTAACTTTGATCCAAAAAGCTTCATCCTCTGATAAGGTCACAATATTTTTTCTTGAAGTTAAAATACATAAATAAGAAGGTAAATTGGATGACTTAGAACTAGAACAGATGCTTTATGATTCATATACAGTAGAAGGACTTTTAAAAGAGCCAGTCTAAATAAATTCATCTGATTCTAAAAAGATCAATTCTCTCAGAATTAAATTAGAGCGAGTGAATGAAGACCTTGATTCAAAGAAATATGAAATAGAATGTATAGAAAAAGGAAAAGAGTCATCAGAAAGTATGTACAAATGGGAAATAGATATTCTGCCTTCAAGGTGATTAAAATTAATAGATGAAAATAGATTTTTTAGGGACTAGTTAGCATTAAAGAAAGATAATGAAGTAGATTCTCCACCTTCGCCTATAAATAATTTATTACAATATGGTCCTAAAGGGATTCTTTCAACTCTTAATCATTCATCTTAAATAATTTCTGTAAGTGATACAGAAGTGGTATCTTTACCAGCAACTGCTCCTATCATCACAAGCTCCTTGATGTCGCTTATGTTAATATATTCTATACTTACTCTAATACTTATTACAATTATATGAATTGTAATCAGAAAAAAGCTATAGAATATATGGAATACTAAGCTGAAAGAAAAAAGTAACTGATATATTTAGACTAGTGATTTACATCTCTGAGTATATTTGAGATCAGGCTATATGATCAGAGGTCAGAAGAGGTTACCTTGTGATTAAATAGAATATAGAAAAAATTGAAGTTAGCTAATATTATTGCATGAGAAAAAATATGTAAATAATATTATGTGAAATACCTTAATGGCTAAGTATTCTTAGTTAAAATTACCACATCCTACTAAGAGTACTTATTCATATAATTTGATGATATCATCTATATCAGTTTTGAATAAATTATCGAAATACCTAGAAAATTTATTGTAAACCTTTTATATATTTTTTAAGCTATTTTTTGTCTCATTCTGAGAATAAGTGTCAATCTGCTTTTCTTTCTCGTCTGAATCTTTGAGTTGCATAATTTTATGTGAAGGTAGTAGTTAGAATATATCATTCTTAATGATAAAGTATGCACACATTCTAACTGTAATATCTAAATAATAATTGATATCTATTTCTATATTTTGCTCTTTTGCTATGTCTGCATATTCTATATAATCTTTAACTCTATGCGATTCCTTTTGATCCTTTTCATTATAGAGAGGTAGTTCTTTGACAACTACATAACTAAACTGTTCGCCAGAATCAGGAATTCTCTCATTTTTTTTTGCATTCGTCCTATAAAGTGATAAACGTAAAGATTTTTTTCTTAAGCTTCCATGTAGCTATTACGGCAAAATCATCAAAATCCCATTACTTATGTTTAGCCTCACTGAGTGTATTTTCAACAATTTTATGAATTGATTGCATGTTATTTATATCCATAGCTTCCTATATAATTTTTTTCCTAATAAATTTAAAAAGCTGAGACTGGCCTTGCTTTACAGTATCAATTTCTTTTCTAAAGAGATCATCTAGTCTAAAATTGACAACCTCTTTATGTAGTACACTAAAGTATTTTTCTTACTGGTAAAGTACAGAGGGTGGACAAAAGTTTTCGGACACTTTTTCACTAAATATAAAACTTATAATTTCTTAATATTAATAGTAAAAGTTTTAATATTATTTTATTTAGAGCTGGTTAAGGCATACATTTCATATTAAATTTTTAATACTTGGTTGGGCTTTCCTTCTTCCCTTTGCTGCAATCACAGTCTGAATTCGCTGTGATATGCTATTAATTAAATTTTTAATAGTATGTATCAGAATTTCTCGTCATGCCTTTTTAACATATCAGTCGAGATCAGCAAGATTCAATGGTAGTTTTTAAATATGCATAAATATTTTTTTTAATATCAACCCATAAATTTTTAATTGGATTAAGATCAGGACTTTGGGCTGACTAAGTAAAATATGGCTTCACGTTATTCTTTGGTTAATTCTTTATTTTGTCCTATTATTTTTCGATTTAGTAGAAATTAAGTAAATTAAATCAAAACAACAAAAAAAACACAAATTTTTTTATTTTGATTATGTAAATAAACAATAGATGGTCATATGACCGCAGTATAGTATTACAATTATATGATAAAAATTTTTTAAATCGCATTTATAAGGGTGTCTGAAAACTTTTGTTCACCCTCTGTAAATAGAAAATAATATTCTTCGTATATCATCTTAAGATA